TACTGAGTCGACATGTGCGGCGTGACCTGTAACACCGGTGATGTCACCGGTGATGTCACCGGTTTATCACCGAGGCCTGAGTCATACTTTCTGTTGATGAAATTCAACCTGGAGGATGAGACGAAGAGAAAAGATGAGATGAGAGAAAAGCCACAAAAAGAAAATGGAAAAAGATGGAAACTGGAAACAAAGAGGTTAGAGAGGGAGTGTTATAATGAAGAGGAAGAGGAGGAGGAGGAGGAGGACGAGGAGGAGGTGGACCCCTGCGGAGGAGGAGGAGGAGGACGAGGAGGAGGAGGAGGAGGAAGAGGAGGAAGAGGAGGAGGAGGAGGAGGAGGAGGAGAGTACAGTGAGGGAAACTGATGAAGGAGGAAATGAGAGCGGGGCAGTTAAGAAAAGAGGGGAATACAAAGAAGTGACGAGGACGAGGAGAGGAGGTGAAGGAGGAGGAGAAAGGGTTTAAAGAGGGGGAGGAGGAGGAGGAGGAGGATCTGATTGATTGTGAGTTATCATGAAGTGGAGATTTATTCCAGCGTGTTCCCTCATCTCCGGCGACCCCTCGACCCCCCGCTCATTAGCATAGAAACCACATTCCCCGGCTGCTGATTGGACCGGTTCTGACGAGACCAGGATGTAAAGGAAATGAGAAGAAGTGTGTGTGCGTGTTTGCGTGCATGGACGCTTTGTAGACTCGTGCACACTCCTATGGGGGAGGGGGGGGCAGGCGGGTTACACATCATCATAATAAGCAGAAGCATTTCCAATCAGAGCAGGTAATTCTTCCTCTCGCTCTCTCTGCGTCTGCCTCCTTCCTGCTTTCTGTGTGTGTGTGTGTGTGTGTGTGTGTGTGTGTGTGTGTGTGTTTGTCCTTTTAGTGGAGAGCCATTTGAATGCCCCCACGCACAAATATTTAGAAAAATGTCCAGATTACCTCCCGAGCCTCTCCGCCCACTCCTCACCCAGGAGCTGACCCGAGAATCTGAGTGTGAAAGCTGAAGAACAGCCTGTGGCTGCGACGCTGCTGCGCTCCACTAATTATTCCTGCAGATTTATGGAAGAGTGAAAATACAGGAGTCTAATCTGCGCTCTGGTTCACGCTCAGTGTGACCAGCTCCGCACCAAAAACCCATCCTCGTCATCCACGAGATGATTCACTCATTCTCTGTCTGATGTGAACCTCTTTGTTATATGAACCACTGTGGTCTGATAGTCCTGGACCAGGACCAGGACCAGGACCTGGACCTGGACCTGGACCTGGGTACTGAGGTCCCTTTCTTTAAGTCACTGTCTGTGTCTGTGGGGCGTTCAGGTGAGCTCACAGGTGGATTGGAGGATTTAACCCCCGACAACAAACCAACCAAACGTCCGACTGAGACCTGATCATTATTTTAATCTGTTTTCTGCAACTTGAAACTTCTTTTCCACAATTTAGAGGCAAATATTTTCACTTTCACTCATCATTTCACATCTGACTGAAATCTGTCGTTAAATCTAAAGAGGGTTTTTTTTTACTGAGGGTGGCGTACCTACCTCTGTCGCCATGGTTACTATGATAACGGTCATGGCTTGGTATAGGACATACTGTACATATGCATTGACTTGATAATAGTTTATAATGTTTCCATACTGTTTCTACAGAGGTCCCTATTTCATCTCTTGAGGTTGTGTTGGCGCTAATGTCGTAGGCTTGGTTATTATAAAATAAAAACACTATAACAATCTATTAAATAACATCATCACATTTATTACCATCGTTTCAACTGTCCGACAGTGGAGCATGATGGGTGGTGTCCCTGTAGGAGCCCAGGCTGTTGTTATTGTTGTTGACTCCATTCAGGAACCTCAGGGTTAAATTAAGGTTTGGAATGAAACCAGATGAAAAGCTTCAGGAATTAGTCTGTGGTAAATTCATAGTTTCACGTTAGTTTGTTTGTTGTTGTTTCCAATAAAAAGGTAAAAAACTGTTTCATTGACCGAAGTCTAGATTCCAAACCTCCATTTTTCACAGTGTAAACAGCAGACTGTGATTCGCTGGCATTAATCAGCGTCTGATAGGTTGATTACCTGCCCTCCTCCCCTGAGATGGACTGACCTGCTGAATCCAGTTAAAAGCTGTGAACCTCTATTGATTTCACCTGTTAAATCCTCTTCTGTCAGGAGGGGGAGGAGGGGGAGGACTGGGGGCGGCTCCCAGGGATTTGAAGCCTTCACATGTGAGGCGTGGACTGTAAAGAAACAGGATTAAAGTCTGTGTTAGTATTAGTGAAGGTCCTACACACAGAGCTGACGCCTTCAACTCCACATTCAGTGTTTTTTATTGATCTTTTATTTAGTTTATTTTGTCGTCCCATTATTTGCCTCCGGTGGCAGCTGAAACATCTGAGCAGCTGTTGGACGGATTACCTCAGTGTGGTGCAGACATTCATGGTCCCCAGAGGATGAACCCTCATGACTGTGGTCACCCTCTGACTTTTTCCTCTGGCTGCATCATCAGGTCACGTTTTAATGTGTTGGATGACATTCCCATCAGCCTCAGCGGTACTTGCAGATAAGCAAAAGTTAGCACGCTAAGACGCTAACATAGGCTGTAGATAAAGATGGACGTCGCCTCTGTGACGTCACCCACAGGTTTCTGAAGCTCAGAGTGAGCTGCTCCACCGTTGCCATCTTGGCAGTGTCTCACTCCGCCCCCTAACTCCCAGCTGATCCAAAAATGGTCAAAGAGGAGGGGCGTGGGTGGAGCTGAGACTTTGTGGCAGATACGCTCACCCACCTGTCACTCAAAGAGGCCACGCCCTCAATCCTCCATAACTGTAGTCCTTAATAAAATGTAAACAGGTGAGTTATATAAACAGGTGAGTTATATAAACAGGTGAGTTATACAAACAGGTGTCATGAAGGAGGAAAGTAGCTCTAGAGACCAAAACAGTTTTTGTACCAGGCTGTAAACATGTTGATTTCTGCTGTAAAGTTGGACATTTTAACATGGGAGTCTATGGGGACTGACTCACTGTTGGAGCCAGACTCTAGTGGTCGTTAGAGGAACTGCAGCTTCATGTTTCAGCCTCGGAGGTTGATGCTTGGACGCTAAACTCAACAGGTGAACATGATAAATATGTCACAGCTAGCATGGCTGCAGACTCTTATTTTGAAACAGCAGGTATCTCAGTGAACTGGTGGTTATTCCTTCCTCCTTCCTGCTTCTCAGCAGTGAAATTAAACTTTGGATGGTTATTTTCTATAGTTTATTCCTGGAGGCGTCAGACATGAAACATGTTTGTCTCTGGTCTTTAATATTTAAATGACTGAGCAGCTGAAACATCATCTTAAACGTGACAAAGAAAAACCCTGAAACTTGACAAATGCAGGATCCTGATGCAAGATTCACTGGATTAACTTTCTTACCTTCAGAATTAAATCCAGACGCATGAACGTGTTTCTTAAACTGTGGATCCAGGTTTCCAGAGGGTCGACGCGTCAGAGAGGAAACAGGTTTGTCTCAATTAGTCTTCATCCCGTGGAGACGAACCTCTTCCCTCTTATCCAGGTCCCGGGCTGAAATACTCAGAATTACCCATAATCCCTGACTCCGCCGAGCGTTTGCCCTTTGCTGCGACCTGCCTCGCAGCGGCTGAACTGTTTCGTTCTGAAATGAGAAATGTGGCGTTTGAAAAGCTCCACTGCGTCTCCAGGAGAATGACTGATGACACGAAGGGAAGGTGGTGACCAGCTCTGACTGACGGGCTTTTATTCTGAAAGGCTCTCTCCGCTCTGCGGTTTTCATGCAGTTTGAAAGGGTTTCTCTTCGCCGCCTGAAGGCACTGACCTGGAGTCAGCGTTGTTTTTGTCCGTGAGCAGATGAAGTTCGTTATTTGTTCCAGACGACTTTGTTCTTCAGTCTCTGCTTCACATCGATTCACATGATGATGATGAGACACGCCGAGTAACAGACAAAACTCATATCTGTGATTTATAGTAAGAAGATCATTTACCAAACATCAGAATGAGCAGCGAGAAGCTGCTGTGGTCTCATCATGCACAAAACAAGTCGTTAATATTCCATTTTAAAGCGCTCTTCAGGTCGTCACGCCGCCTTCCCTTCTACTGTGTCAAAGTAGTTGTTAAATAATGATCAATAATGAATCAATACACTGACACTGACAGTGATCAGAGACTGACTCTAACACAAAATCATCCAGCCTCGAAAACTCTTTCTCTACATGTCATCAACATCTCACACGTGTGTCAGGGGTCGTGACCTCAGGGTCCGAACCCGGAGCAGTCATGGCTGCCTCAGTGCCCTTGAGCAGCGAACCGGTTTCCTTCAGGGAGTCGTACTCGCCGCCACAGCGAGCGAGCGAGCGCCGAGCCGAGGAGAGTTTCCCTCCTGGGCAATCGATACAGATCCCAAAAATAACCCTGTGTGTGTGTGTGTGTGTGTGTGTGTGTGTGTGTGTGTGTGTGTGTGTGTGTGTGTGTGTGTGTGAGAGCCTGTGAGTGGGAGGCATTCAGATAAGGTTGTATAGATTTATTGACAGTGTTAAGTTGAAGTGTTGAATAATATAGAGGAGTCCACTGAAGTAACAGCAGCAGCTGCTACCTGCTGACACACACACACACACACACACACACACACACACACACACACACACACAGTGAGTTGCAGGGCGTCTGTCTGAACCAGTGTCACTGAATCAGTTGATTTTCAGTCGGAGCTGCTTCATTTTCACTGGATCAAAACTTTTCTTTTCATCAGCAGCAACATTTAGCTTCATTTATATCTGCATGGCTTTGCAGCAGTGGCCTGTGGCTGAAACTGGACCCCCAGCAGTAATGTCTTTTTTAATCTTACATCAGACCGACATTCAGCCGCTCTTTAACAGCAGCTACTTATTCCATTAAAACAGCTGCTGGAAACTGGAGACTGAACCCGACAGGTAGACGGTGTGTGTGCAGGTGTGTTAACCGTCTGTTGTCTGCTGTGTTTCCCGTCTTTGCAGCGGGGGCGGGGAACAAGCTGGGCTGGGCCTTCGGTCTCGGGCTGGAGAGACTGGCCATGGTGCTGTACAGCATCCCGGACATCCGGCTGTTCTGGAGTCAGGACGAGCGCTTCCTCAAACAGTTCAGGGTGCAGGACGTCCACCAGGCCGTCTGTTTCCAGGTAACACACACACACACACACGACACTACAGTGAACAGACCATGCTGGACTGTGTTGAACGAGGTAAACAAACTTTATTTGTGAGACACTGAGTGAATCAGAGACAAACTAATGTATGAGCTTCACAATAAAACGTTTAGATTTTAAAGGTTTCGACTGACGTGTGTGTGACTGTGACTCGCCTGAACATTTTAGATCATTCATACGTCACCAAACAAACCCTCAGTTCAGTGATTTGAGACTTGATATCTGAGGTTTCCATCATCACGTCAGAAATGTTCTTCTCCTCAAACGCTGCATCACAGTGATTCACTTTCCTTCTTTTCTTTTCTTCTTCTCTTTATTATTCTATGCGTTCACTCGTCCATTTGTCTCTCGGCTCGACCGAGTGTTCAGCTGAACATTTACACTCCGTAACCTCTGCCTTCAAACACCTCCGTCTCCCTCCATCAACCTCCCACTTACTCAGTGACAGTGTGTGTGTGTGTGTGTGTGTGTGTGTGTGTGTGTGTGTGTGTGTCCATCCAAACAGTCAACAGAAATACAACATTTATATGAGACATCAGCTGAGTTCTGGTTCAGGTTCTGGTTCAGGTTCTTAAGGGTTCTACAGGAACTCTTTTGTTCTAACAGACTGAGAGCAGACAGGAAGTGTTCTGACCTCGCTCTGCTCACTCTCACCTGTCGGGTTACTTTCCTACTTTTACCCTCTCCCCTGTAGTCATTTATCCTTCCTGTGTGTGTGTGTGTGTGTGTGTGTGTGTGTGTGTGTGTGTGTGTGTGTGTGTGTGGTTGGTTGTGGTTGGTTGTGTTCTAGCCTCTTAACCTCATGTATAAAACATTTTGACAGTGGGGGCTCAAATCAGCCAGCGCCAGTCACTTCTCCTGACCCCAGCATCATCAGAACACACACACACACACACACACACACTCACACACTGTGTGTGCAGGTTCACACAGCGGTTACTCTGTCCCTGCTAAAGGTGTTTTTTGTCGACTCTCGTCTTCACTAATGAAGAACATTTCAAGTGACTGTTGGAGGGCAGAGAGGAGAACAGAGAAGAAGAAAAGAGGGGAGGAGGGGGAGGAGGGGGGAGGAGGGAGTGACTGAGTGAGATGGAGGAAATGAGGGGAGAGAGAGGGAGGACAGAGCAGCAGGAGGGAAGTGAAGATGGAGAATGAAAGCAGACTGGAAAATAAAATGTGTAGATGAGCAACAAGATATTTAAAGATATTAAAATATAAAATATAAATGATCTAATAAACACATGACAGTAAGATAAAGATCTGAGGGGACGGAGTCATGTGAGGACGGAGCCCGGTGTCCACTTCACAGTCCTCACAGCTTTATTGATGAACTCGGATCCTCCAGAGGGACCAGGGGAGCACGGCTCATCTCCTGCCCAGGGTCAGTGCACCTCTCCTGGGCCAAGACTCTCCACCTCTCCCCCTAAACCCCCACCCCAACCCCTTGGATCGGTAATGAACTGTGACCGTGTGTGTGTGTGTGTGTGTGTGTGCGTGTACAGAATCTAAACAAACATGTTCTTCAGGGAGCCGTCCTCTGTCTCTAAACTCTAATAGTGTTGAACACTCAGTCCCTCAGAAACACTCTCTCTACACCACACGGCCAGAAGTATGTGGACACCCCCGACCACCTGACCACCTTCATCTCTTTCTTTGTCAAAGTATTTAAATAAATTCAGATTAATAATAAAAATGTAAAACACACACCTGTACCTGTCTTCTACCTACCTGCCTTACCAACCAGCCACCTATTGCACTAACCTACTAACCCACCCAACACCCAGCAGCTGAGTGGACTCACCTTCCTGTGATCTACCTGTCTGCTTTCTAATAATGAAGCTGTTCTTCTTCAGGTTAATTCCAGAAGGAAACGTTGAGTCAGAGTTTCTTTAGACTTCAGATCATCGTGTCGTCGTTCCTTCTTCCCGCCTCTCTCTCTCTGTCACAGAGAAATAAATAAAAGCACCTCGCTGATTAAAACGTCTCAATAAATAGTATTAAGATGGAGAAAACTCTGAAAAGAGCAGTGGATCCTCCTCCTCCTCCCTCTGTTCTCTCTCTCTCTCTGTTTATTAAAAGTTATTTCCAGGATAATAAACAAGTCACAGATGATAGAAATCTCTCTCTCGCCTTCTGTCGCTGCATAAAACATCAGATTTATTCTGTCGTCCTGATTAAGTTTTAATGTGTTATTGTCTTCGTGTTTTGCTCTGCTGCACTTCCTCCTCTCCTCTCCTCGCCATGCTCTTCCCTTCGTTTTATTTCCTCTCTGCTTTCTGTCACATCTCTTCTCTTCGTCTTTGAACTTCATGCCTTTCTCTTTTTTCTTATTACTCTTTCTTATATTTGGCTGTTTAATCATTTCTTCCCTCTGTTGCTCCGTTTATTTCCTCCCTTTCTTTCGCTCATATCTGTATTTTTTTTTATTCATCATCTTTTCGGCAGCTTGTTTCAACAACGTCGGCCATGTTCCTCAGAAACATCCCGAGGGTCTCACTGTTCAACAGCACCACAGATAATCTTCAGCAAACACTCAGATCAGTCTGTAGTTTTATTTCATAAAGGAAAAGTCTTCGTGTCAGTCGTATAAACATGTTTATGTTGTTACCATGACAACAAAGATCGTCTAATGTTAAGGTTGAGTTTATCAATATGAACCTGAGCTGCAGGAGTCGGACATTTCCTCTGGACTAATAATCATCAGGGGAAAGTCTGTGAAGTTCGATGAGGTTTTTTAATTTGTGTAAAGATGAAAAGTAACAGGAAGTGAATATTCCTACAGTGTTTTACAGTGAAAACATGCTGCCCCAGTTTTGTTGTGTTTTATTTGCATTCGCTTCTTTCATGTGCTCCACATTAGTTTTTATAAGCTGATGGATGAGACGTTTATTCATTAATTATTGTCCCGCTTGTGTTTCCTCAGTCGCTCAGTAAGTACCCCCCCCTCCACAACGACATCTCCTTCTGGCTGCCGGAGGGCGGAGAGAGCGAGGCGGGGCGAGAGGGCTTCACGGAGAACGACTTCTACGAGCTGGTGCGCTCCATCGGAGGAGACCTGGTGGAGAAGGTCTCGCTGGTGGACGAGTTCACACACCCAAA